CTGAGTCACAGTTTTACACATGTAGCACAGGAGATACTGATCCATCTAACCTGGTCATTTGTCTTCGAACTGAACTTATCTTTTGCCATCAGAGTTGAGTTGAGGCCAGGTTTCAGCTCACTGAGAAAAGGGCCTGAACCAGATGAGAGAGAACCATCTACGAACAGCTTATGTAAAATGCAGATTAACCTTTTCAGTCATACAATAGTACCATAACTCACAAACTTTTAGATTTCAGAATTGTTGAAGTTCAGGCTAAGGAAAAGAAAACAATAAATAAGAAATTGCCAATATGTCAACACCAGCAAACTCTGGAATCAGATATTTCCAGCTAACAAAGCTCTGACTATTCTGTGGAAAAACACTGGAGTCGGAACCCCATACACTGGAGATCACTATTAAGAACTACGCTGGTCACAAAAACAATGTAGAAATGTACCCTTACTATCTTCAATATTATTTTACTGACTCAGCTGTCTACAGGACCAGAGCTGTAATTTGTCCCAAGAACATCACAGGCACATGTGCTGAGTTATGTGGCTTAAATAAATCACCTTGACTTGTTTGGTCTTGGTGAATAGCTATTTCCTGTCAGTCACATTTGTCCTTCAGCAAAACCTGCGGTGCAAGCGTCTTAACATTAATCCAGCTGTAATAGTGCATAAAAAGTGTTGACAGAGTTGTACTTGATCAAAGAAAATATGACAAAGAAATACACTTAGGCTTAAAAGCAAAGCAAAAGCATTTTTCTTTTAGTTCTAAGCCACTGGATATAAAATAAGTGTCAAAGTATGAAGACCCGGTTACTGTGAGGCAGTAGATAAAGCCCAATTTATTTGTCAAACACAAAAGAAAAACTACAGCACAGGTTGTTTTTTTCTTCTGTGATTCTGAGCTGCTGCTGCTGGTTTCATTGCCCGTTTCACACGGGGCCAGAGATGGATGAAAAATTAGACTATAGTTTTTAAATATGAATCATATAATTATTTTAAAATTAATTTATATCACCAGTTATACTCAGTAGTCTATTAGGCATGACTGTACAGTTAGACTGTTATATTTTTCATTCATATACATCCTACCAATTTCACAGTTTTAGTCATAGCGGTTAAACCAATAAAAAGTATTCCAATTACTTTCCCAAAAGCAATACATAATGTACTATTTTGGGGGGAAAGTTGGGTCAAATATAAGGAAGTTGGGATCAAAATGACCTCGAAGACACACCTGGCATTTTAAAATGTGGGCCATATCAAAGATGTTTCATAATGATGATGATGGTAGATATGTCCCATTATTATATACATAGGTGCGTACATTCATTATTTTAACTGTTTGATAAGAGCCTCATCATGCAACGTAACTTAGCAATGAACAACAATACATTATTTTAAGCTGTTCATTTTATATTTCTGGGGAACAAAAAAAATGTCCCAGAAAAAAAAAATATGGAGAAATAGACCAAACTTCCCCGTCACAATGGCTTAAATCCATAACTTGGAAAAACAACGCTATAATATCGCTATAATAATTGCATACACCAGACCTACAAATATATGCATATAACAAAAAAAACATTGATAATTAAAAAGTCAAATTACATGTTACCGACTCTTGCTTTTAATTATAACTAAAAACAAACAAATGTTGTTGTATTTATAATAATACCCCGCCTCAAATGTAAACACAGCAGGGAAACAACGTACCGTTTCCAGAGACGTGATTGTCCACATTGTTGTGGCCGCTGATTAGAGCTGCGTTAAGTTGAACGTAAAGTCCTGCGTAATGTAAAATCCCCACAACCACTCCAAGTCTTCCCATGGCTCCAGCCGGTGTTTCCTTCAGCTGTGAGAGAATTGTCACATTAGGTGAAGAACATCTGTGAAGCTGCTCAGCGAACACTCCTGTCAGCCACAGATATGAAGGTGGAGAGATGCAGCAGCTCTGCTCTAGTCCGCCGGAGGACGATGTTCTGTGGTCTGCGCTTGCGGAAGGAGATGGAGAGTGCAGACAGGTGCGGCGGCTATTCAGATTCAGTATGGCGGAGGGATCTAGCCGTTTTGTGACTGTTCTTTACGCGAAATGTGTATAATTTACGAAAAAATACTACACTATTCTTGGTAAAATTGGCAAAAAAAATAATTATTTCTAACAATGTGTGGGTTTAAATATTTGGAAATAAATTGGAAATATAGCTAGATATTGCTAAGTTGGAAAATATCCTTTATATTACTAGATATTTTAAGTGTTAAAATATTAGAACACGTGCTCTTACACTGAAAGTCTAATTTCATAGTACTGCCTATGTGCGTATGTGTCCCAGCATTAATACGGGTGACAAGAAGATAATACAGAAACTATTGTTTTCTTCAACAAAGTCCAGAAAAGCTATGTTAAAAACAAATATAGAAAGGTCAAAACTACTATTCTGTGATGAAAAGTTCCACATGTGTCTTTTAAGTAAATTTGAAAAAAAAAGTTCCTAGATGATATCAGTCTCATTTTTCATATCCTGTCAAATGGATTTACAGCATATGAGGTTCATAGACTTAGACAGAGTTCACAACCTGCCTATTCTACACAAGACAAAGTATCACTGATAAAAGCATGCTTAAAAAACCCATCAGAAATATGTGGGTGTATTTCCCACAGCAAGGCTAAAAGATATGTTTACCCCTTTTATAGATAAAGATCTCCACAGAGGACAACTCTATAAAATGGTCTTTCCCATGTGTGGGTTGCAGCCATCAACATTGTATGGCTTCATTGCATTATGTGCTGTGCAAACCTTTTACAATCCTTGTTTAACCACTTTAAGAGAAAAAAATAATTGTAATCCTATGACAAAGTCAATTTCATTTTGCCCAGTTCTGGGTATCAATATTTGATGAAATTCCTTCCTTTAATAATGTATGTGCTATAATCAAATATACAAACGATCCTGTCGTTTCTGTGAATTCCCCTCACTGTTTTTAAAGAAAAATTATTAGTAGTATTTTTTTCTGCAGTACTAGCTGCAGTCAGCCTCCTTTTCCGAATCCATCTTTGTTAAGTGTCCTGTTGGGATTTTTGCCTCAGATGTTGGTCACCGACTGTGTCTGAATCCTTGTGTCAAAGCCTGACTCCCCTCGTCTGCTCAGTGTTAAACACTACACTCCTCAATCAGTCTATTAGCGACTACAGCAGGAGAACAAAAGAGCAGATCATATATTAAAAAAATCATTTACTATTGTGTCAGGTCTGACTACCTCTCTCCCCACTTCTGTCTGTGTTAATTAGTTTCATCACTCTCACCTGTGTCCTGTGCTTCCTTGTATAATCACACTCACTTGTTTCACCTGGTTCCCTGGCTATCAATGCCTCTCTCTCACACACACATTAACTTTGAAATGTTATAGTTGTTGTTCATCATTGGTGCTGCCTCCTCCTTGGTTCTGTTGCCTGTTCTCCACATTAAGGAATATCAGGTCTGTTTCCCAGTTATTCTGTTTTATTATACTTCACATTTCCATCTCTGTTCCTCGAGTGTCTTCAGTTTTGCCCAGCTTTGTTGAAGTGCTGATTCTGTACTTGCTCCTATGTTTGGACTTGTTAATAAAAGAACTGACCTCTGATATGTGTTCTGAGTGCTGAATTATCCTATATAATTTTTTTAAAAATATTGTAATGTGCTCAATTTTATTTGTACTGTATAGCCCAAATTTACAAAATGTATTTGTCTCAATGGTCTTTACAGTTTGAAATAAACTCAAACACTGGCTGATGTTGTGGCTGAAGTGTTGGTTTGTTGAATTGGAGCATGTTTTTGACTATGAATGTTTGTCAGCAGCCAAATCCATACTGGTATTAGTGCATCCCAAATTTGAACGGTAGCCAAATCCATACTGGTATTAGTGCATTAGTGTAATCTGAATGTCTTCTGTGTTTTATTTAAAGCCGTATAGTGTGCAGTTGCGGAAAACTCAGTTATCTGATCAGCTGTTGGTGGGGGACAAATGGACAAAGGCTTTTGTGTTTGTAAATCAAAGCCCACTCGTCTTTTCATCAGTCTTCCCATTTCAAATACCAAGCTTTTGTTCCTGTGCTGAGAATTCTGCTTGTTGGACCACTGCAGTAATCAACAGTGAACCCTTCAAACCTTGACATTCATACAAGTGCTGCCTCAATATGAAGGTGAAGCCTTGAAAATCAAGGAGCAGCTAGACAAAGCACACTGGGATGTAAGACATTTCCACAGCACAGTCGGTCTCGGTAGTGAACGTGCTGTTAGGAATGCAGATAAGGAAATGTCCTCCTCCAACAGTGTTGCTGCTTTGTGAGTCAAATGCTTTGTGTTTGAATGATAACCTGCATGGTGAGAAAGCTGAGGCTAACATTGTGACTAGTGACCTCCTGAGGAGTCAGGTGAAAGAAAAGCTGTATTAACAATGAGAATATGCATTGACTATGAATCTCTCTGCACTTTCGGTGTGTTCAGTATATTGTGCGTCAAGGCTACATTTGAGTCTGTAAGACATTTCTTACTAACATTCACCAGTGGATTGTTTATTTGCGACAGAGAAATTGGGTTTTGGTGATAAACCATTTACAGATTCCACTACAGAACATTTTAAACTTCTAAAAAGTAGATTGATGCAAAACTGTTTACTTTTACTCTCCATATCAACACTTTTGTAACAAGTTTGTTTTCTAAACTCCAAAATTCTTAGCTCTGGAGTCAGGCATATCACTGGCCAGTCACTTTAATCTGTCATCTCGACGACCGATTGGGGAAAATTATATGATGGCCAGAACCCCGGCACCATTTCCTGGTCCACTGGCTACATCTTACTGCTCCACTAAGTCTTGTTCATTTGCGGTACAATTTTAAATGGGCTGCCACTGTGAAGCGAAGATGTCAACTAGCAGGTGTGGCACGTTACTCGTCTTTCTGTTTACGGACTTTGGTTTGAGCCTAATGTGGCTTGACAGGAACATGCAATAAATAAAGAGAGGGTCTGGAGGCTATAGGTGTGTATGTGTGTGATGGAGATTTTAATGGAATGTTAGTGGAAATAAATTGTAGTAAATAATCACTCAATCAAATCAGGTTGGTTGTTAATTTAATTCTTGCAGACCTGGTTTCCTAGGAGAATACTAACTAGCCTTCCTCTGCCTTTTTAATCTGTACAACTGGGAGAGGTGTGCTCCAAATGTGTGACATTTTGCTATACATTCTCTTAACATATAATTATGTCTCAAGAAACATAATATAATATATGCCCTTGGCAGGATTGCCCTCTCGCTGAGTGCAACAGAAATGTGGCTGTGCTAATGTTAGCGGTGACAACACTGCTAATGCATTTGAGCTTTCAGAGGTAAAGCAGTGGCAATGATTTTAAGAGGCCTGCTGCTCTGCTGACACTCGGCTTTGACTCTGCTGCAAAGTACATAATGACCTGCCACTATCGCTGATCCATTACAGAGCACAGGCAAGGTAAACTCCCCCTCCTCTTCACTGACCCCAACAAGGCCTCATTTTATATAAAACACAGAATCCTGGGCCTTTAACAGAAGCATTGTTGAGGTCGGTGATGAATTAGCCTGAAAAAATTAACCCAATGATGCAGATGTTGAAGTCCAATCTTTGACTTTGTGCAATGTGGAATAGTTCAATCAGGTAAAATAATTACTCTGACTTACTGTGGTATTTTCATAAAGTCTATATATCCTGCATTAAAAGAGAACTTAACAAAATGTTTTGTCACCAACAGGCTCAAAATATTACAAATTCAATGAAAATAAAAAAAAATAATAGGATGCAAGTCTGCAGGTTTACTTCAAATGTTATGGTAAGCAATATAAATAAAACTGTTGACATGTTGCCACATCCTATAAAGTCTGTGATAATAATTCATCTCTTTGGAGTCTTGTGATACGTCTTAGTTGTTTATGCGTTAGAATTATGGTATTAGAATCTGTAGGATTCTACTCAACAGTACTATGAATATTACTTCTTTGCTACTGACTAAAGAAATGTTATTTTGCAGAGTTTACAAATATTATGTTTGCGTTTTCTTTTTGTGTGGATGGCATTTTCCTCCGTCTACAGTCATTGACATTCCTTCAGGGTCATACATATACTACAAGTAACACTTTCCTAGTTAGTGTGTTTGTCAACGTTTGCACTTTTTCTTTTTACCAGTGACTCTACACCAGCTTTCCATTTTATTCCACTTTACTCTTTCTTCCTCTTTCTCTCCTGCGTCTGTCATCAATCACTATTCTGCAGGACTATCTTTAAATCTGCACTAGTGACTCCCATCTCTGGCCTCACCACAGCTCCCCTCTCCTCTGTTCTGTTCCCTCGAGGAAACCACTTGAAGCTATGTTTTATTACAACCACAAAGTCCGGCAGGCAGTTTCTCACTGAAGAAATTCAGTCTCTACAAGGCTATTGATATGCTATAAAGGCTCTTTTAACTATTTTATTAAAAAGTATATACTCATCAAGAATAATTTTCTCTTAATCTTCTTTCCTGCAACCATAATATTGTCAGGACAAAAATACTAGATTGAAAATTGTATTAAAAGAGACAAACATTTACATCATACATCAACATTTTTATTTCTGTTTTTTTTTTTTTTTAGGACCAACTGTGACCTATAGATGGCTCTGTCCAATTTTTGCATGGGCTTATGACTTCTCTGTATGTGAAAAAGTGTGAGTGTTGTAGCGTTGTTACTACTGTAGTTTGATCCTGTGGTGCTCACACCACGCGCTCCTTATGTTGCAGCTTTTATACACAATAGAAAATATGTTGACAGAGACACGGTCTTCACAGGAGGAGACAGGGAGCAGCTGTTTGTGATCCCTTTACAAAATGAATTGGAACCATTAAAGCAAAGACGCCTTTTCCAGGGAGAAGCGCAGAATGAGCGAGATTGTAATTCAAATGGAGAGCTTGTCTGTCCATGTCAACGAATACAATTCGGAGATGTTGCCACAAGACCTAATCACTTAGTTGCAATGAGGAGCACATTCCCGCGCTGTCGTGACCACGGGCTAACATGGACTACAGGGCTGAGGAGAGTAGTCTGAGTCCTCTGCTGGAATACAGGAGTGTTTGTCTGCATACCAAACAGATGGTTCCGTGGTTGTGAATTCTTACACCTTTAGACTCCAATACCAGAATGAGTTGTTGCCACTGAGAGCGTGTCAGTATCATGGACACCGACCTGCACTGGTCTGGGAGGACTGAGCAAAAGATTTACATTTACATATCTGCGTTTAGCAGATGCTTTCATCCAAAGTGACTTACAACAGGAGGATTAACAATCGTACCACAAAGGGGAAGGTGAGAGTGCAGAGGTGGAGACCAGGACATGGTGAAGGGAAGAACAGGAAAGTGGTAGGAAGTACAACTTTGTATGTGTACTGTAAGTCAAGTACCTGTAAATGACAGCTGGATATTCCAGTTTTTGTTTACAGGTCAGAAAATCAATCAAACCGTACGTCCGCTCAGGTGTGCTCCCTCACCCGTCATCATGCTTTTAGTAATGTATATTTTGCTGTGTCCATTGACTCATAAAGGTAAATACAATAATTATAACAACGTTTTGATCTGAGAGTCTCCTTCACTCACATTCAACAATCCATCAGCTCCCTGCTCTGATCTTCTCTTCTCATTTGAGATAAAAGAAGACAGGCTTACCTTCTTGGGGTATTAAGGACCAAACCCACCCTGTCC